CTTTTAAGTACTAATCAACTATAAATATATTATGAATCATTTAAATATTTTCAGCATATATATTTTTAGAGTCTATCCCTCCAAAATATCATTTATTTCTCTCTTTATAAAGTTTCCAACTTAAGCATCCAAGAATCCCAATATCTATCAAATAAATATTTTTTGTAGATACAAGCTATATTGGCTTACCAAGCACCACCAGCTATCAACCACTTGAGTTTTCTATATCGAGCTCTTAGACACATTAGCTAGGGTAAATATTTTGAGATTAACTAATTATACAATACAGTAGCCTTGTTTATAAGTTATTCAGATATTTTAAAACATCATTAATTAGTGTTGTTTATGAAAGACTAATTAAAAAGCCATCAATTTCTTCATAAAACTTGTTTTTATTATTTCAATGACACACAACAAAGACACGTATGGAATAGGACACGAGACAAATTTACTTGTTACTATGGACACTTTTACCAATTGGACTTTAACAATTCACAAATTAATTGCACCTCCTCACTTAGGCTTTTTGGCAACCTAAAGATAAAATCAGATTTTGTCACCCCCAACAAATCTTAACATCTTTATTACACACAACACCCTAGCACCTAGCCATTAATCGTATTAGACACCTATATCTGATTACACTATCCAGAATAGACTAAGTAAAATGACATTCATAAAAGTCTTTTAAGGGATTGCTTGTGCCATTGCGACACCCATTTACAAAGTTGGTACTCCAAATGTACTCCCTTTAGCTAACGGGAGATGGACACAAATTACTGTAATCGTTCTATGTCAAACTCGTTGGACTTACAAAAGCCTAACATATAACGGACTAAGAGACAGCCTATACATGAGCATACTAAAAAAAATATCTATAGTCCCTATCAATGGAGGGTTTCTCCTTTAGCCAAACGAGTATTGAACACTCGACTACTTGAGAATTATATTTCCATAAAAATAAGTTTGGACAAATATGCTGGTCTGACCAAATCGAGGGAGAATGCACAAAATATGTGTGGTAGTTTAGATGCTGTCACTTAGAATAGTGACTCAATGTGCAAAATTTTCCCCCACAACCTTCAACAAAGCATAATACTTTTGGTATTCAGAGCCTATCTTTCTATAAAGTTACTAACTTAAGCATTTGTAGTCCTCACATATATCAAAGGGGACCTTTTCAATCTACCAATTATAAGCTTCACTAGCTTATCAAACACTACCAATTACCAACCATATAGACTTTTCATATCAAGCCACCAAATAGTTTAATTAGGGAAAATGAATCATATTACTTGAACTAAAAGATTAACCGATTATTCAATACAATAGCTTTGTACTTAAATTACTTGGATATTTTAGGACATTATCTTTATTCACTTTTTCAAGAAACTTTAAGTGATTGTTTGAGATCTTTTCTATTTTATTTCTTAAAGCATGAGAGATGTATAGAATGATCCCTAAACTTTTTTTTGTTCTAGAGAAATCTTTAACAAGTTACAATTTAAACACACAATCCTATAATATTATTGTACAAATAATGAAAGTTTATTGATAATTGTTCTAGCCAAGTAATTGAAGAGTAAAAATGAGTCTATAACGAAAATTAATTTTTTGAATTTAATGTAATATTTTTGGGTTTCTATGTTAGATCGGATCATGTTTAAGTTTAAAATGATTTATAGATATTTTTGGGATGATGATAAGGTTTTTCTTAAGTAAAATAGTGTAGAAAATAGATACAACTCTTTAATTTTCTGGCAATCCCAACTTTTTATTGCTAAAAAAATTAAAGAAAAAAGTGATGTAAATAATGTGATATTTATTGAAGAAGATAACATGTCATCTATATATATATTTTTTTCTTGTTATTTGAGGCTATGCTTGGGGCTCTTGCCTTTTATTAGTGAGCCTAGCCTAACTCTAATTTTTTTAGATTTATTTTGTATTTTTTTTTTAATTTTTTTACTTTTTTCCTTTTATTTTTAAATTTGTTTTGAATGGTAAAAAATTAACGGTATTATATTTTTAAGCCCTTAGTTTATATGAATGCTTGTAGTTTGGTTAAATTTTTAGTCTTAGAATCTTCATATTGTGTATAGTAATAAACAACTTAAAATTAAAAAGAAAATTAATTTTTATTCACAAGTAGATTGATTTTTTTAATTATAATGAGAATTTGATTATTTCTGATTTTCTTGATGTAATATGTATAAAATATATTTATGATCATTAAAGTTTTTCAAAATAAATAAACCAAGTAAATTGAATGCTTTGGACACAGAATCTTATAAATTTGAAAATTATTTATTGCCTATAAATATTATAGGGTACCTCATATGATAGTTTTTTTTTTTCATGATAAATAATTTTAGCATAGGCCTAGTGCGTGAGCAAGTCTTGCCACCTCATTTTTTTCAGTTCTTGTTTTTCTTTCTATTTTGGTCTTTATTTCGTGTTAAAAAATATTCATCTTCCTTCCAAAATACAGGCCATTGCTTCAAGCAAAGATCTAAATTGAAATGGCTCTTTATCCTTCTTAATTTTCTTTTTCCTTGCAATGCCCACCCACGTTCCTCCACTTGGGAGCGCCCCCCTTTAACTCCACGCTTCGCACGTTCATATTAAAAAATAAAAAAGAAGCTATAAAAAGGGAGTTAATTATAAATCAATCTCTTTAATTTTGCAAAATGAATAAAGTAATATTTTTAGTTTTTAAAAAATAATCAATTATTCCTATTATTTTTAAATTTAGTGGTGACTTAATCCTTTTCATGTTCTTTTTATTTTTTTTAAAAAATATATATATAAAAAACAAATAATATGAAAGATTAATGAAAATAGAAGATATATATATTTTTTAAAATAAAATAATATTAAATTTTAATATTAAGCTTTATTTTAATTATTTTTTTGTGTTTATTGAGTGAGAAATAAATTATTTTTGTGTGTTTATTGAGTGAGAGAAAAGAGAGAAAATCACTAAATTTCAGTCTAGAAAAAAAAAGATGCTATCTTGATGATTCTGACCATTAAAACAGTAGATTTTTATTCTAAATGGTTTCATATGATGGAGAGAGTTTGAATTATTTTTTTTATCTTGAAAGTGTATTAAAAAAAACCTTAAATTTGAGAAGAAATTAAGTTTTGAGTTAATTTTAAGTTTTAAAGTGGTTTTTTTTACACTTTTAGAGGTTACTGGTTAGTTTAACAATGTTACTAGTGTTTTCTAAATATTTGATAAGTTATTTTTTTTTAAAAACAACTATCCTAATTTTTTTGGTTACCACATTAGCCAATTATCCTAATTTTTTTGGTTACCACATTAGCTCAAATATAAGGATTTAAATAACACATTGTCTATTTTTTTTTTAAAAAAAATTGAATTAGAATAGATAATAATTAAGGTAAATAATATGTCATCTATTCTTTTATCTTAAAAAAATACTTAAGGCTCGAGTGACAAGGTCTAATCTTATAGGCCAACATGTGGACCTTTATTTAGGGGCTAGGTACTTGCTTGACCTTATTTTTTTTATATAGTTTGGATTTTTTATTTAAATCTTTTTATATATTTTTAAATAACTTTTAAGTTTGTATTTTAGTTGTTGGGGATTTTTCACTTATTTATTATTTTTTAAATTGTAATTATTTTTAATTATTTTAAATATATTTATTTTTTTAAGAGATTAGTATCATTTATTTTTTAGTTTTTTTATAGTTTTTATATTAAAATTATATTAAAATTATTTTTATAATTTTTTATAATATTTTTATTATATGTAGTCTTGCATAATATGTTTATTTTTTTATTTAATAAATTTTATTTGTGTCGATTCCTATTTTAATTTAATTTTAACAAACAAATTCATTAAATATAATTAGATAAATAACTCATATTGTAATGTTAAATATTTTGATTTATTTTTTTCATTTGATTTTTTCAATTTTATTTTTATTTAAGAAAAAATTATGAAGCCAACATGAGTTTGTTGAGATGTCTTTTATTTTTATTTTTATTGACTTTTTTATTCATTTATTTTTTCTTATATTGTAAAAATATAGTTTTAAATCAAAGCCATTTATTAAACTTTATAAAGTTCATAAATATATTTATAAGTTTGGTTGGTTGACTTAGTTCGGAAATATGACTTGTTTAGTTTTTTTTTAACATCTTAATATTAGATTGATATTTAATTTTACGATCGTATATTTCTGTTATCATATAATTAAATCAAAACTAGCTTTAAAAATAAATAAATTATAATCCCATTGAAATTTATAACTCGATTCACTGATTTGATATGCTAACCTACGTTATCCAGTTTATAATTTTGACAAGTACACTCACAAGCCAACTATTTTTTTTTGTCTTTTAATTTTTTTTATTTTTTTTTCAATTATATTTTTCAATAATGAATTGGTTGAGAAATAAATTGCATGATATATTTTTGTTTGCTTTCCATACAATTATATTTTTCAATAATAAATTGGTTGAGAAATAAACTGCATGATATATTTTTGTTTGCTTTCCATATAGTTATTATTGTCCAAAATAAGTTTTAATATTTAGAATAATACTTAATTTTGTGATCATATATTTTTATTATATAATTAAAAAATAATTTATAAAAAAAGTTATTTAACTTAGTGGAGTCCATGATACGGGTTGGTTAGAGAATTGAAATCAATTTAATTTATTATTATTTCAATAATTTTTTTTTAAATTTTTTTATCTTGAAGTTTTATTTAAAAATCAAGTCATATTTTTATTAGTTATTAAAATTATATTTAGATGCATAAATTAACTCCCAGGTAATTTGGTTTGATTCAAATTAAACAAATAGGTTATAAAATTTCAAGATGAAACCATAATAACACAATTAAAAATTTATTATTACTTTTAATATTTTTGAACTTTTAAAAATTAATCTCAGTTGCGGCAGACCACGGAACAATCAACTAGTTTACATACCAAGTGAGGGTAACAGGTGAAGAGCACACATGGTAGTGCAAATAGCAAAAAAAGGTGTGGACAAGAAAAAGCAAAAGGAAAGAAGGCTGCTGCGGTATCGCATTCCCTTCTTTTGTCTTCCTTCTCTCGGAATTTCCTCTCTTTCCTCCTCCTAGGGATCGAAGGGTAAGCAGCCAAACCCACCTAACCACCCACCTACCCCACTCATCCACAGTCCAATCTAATCGGCCATGGATTGATCGTTAAGCTGCTCAATTCTCACTTATTGTCACTCAGGCAAGTCACTCTTTCTTTTAAGCTGATATGATTCCTAGATCGCCTTCCTTTGTTTGCTCCTGAAATCAGCTCCATTTAGCTACAATTTCGGCTCAGATGAGCTTATTGGCTAGTAATACTTAGGAAACGAAAAGACAAAACTGTTACTCAGTCATGGATTTATTAAATTGTAGATTTGCAGTTTTGTTTGTTTGTTTTTTTCTGTTATATTTCGCTGTTTCTGATGGTTAGGCTTTGTTTCTTCAGGGTTTCAGTCATTTTGTTTGTCTGTTTTTGCTCGATCTCTTACTTGTCTGTTGGTTTAAGCTCACTTTCTGCTCGTTGAGGAATTAGCGGTAAGTTATTATTGCGTGTTAATTTGATTTCTACCTCCTCAACCGTTCCTCTGTGATGAAATTTCAGAATTGTTTTGTTTTGAGCTGCTGTTTGCTCTCACTTGTTGTTAATTTATTGGGTTTCGAGTTTTAAAACATCTTGGAGGTTTAGTTATCCATACTGTTTAGGGTTTTGAGATACCTGACACGTTTGTGTGACTACCAAGGTTAGGTGATGATGTGTGTTTGTGTGACTACCAAGGTTAGGTGATGAACTCGCATTGCACAGCTGTATCACATTCAACTCATTAAAAAAAAGTGGTAAATATATTCTCGCTTCATTTTGATTTATTTAGTTTAATAATAGTAAGACCTTTACAATTGTGCTTGACCATTACAGGTTACTGGATCGTTATCTGTACTGTCAGTTTTGGTTATGAAGAGAAGCGTCTTAGAGATTGTGATTTTTTTTGTGTGTCGTCATTTTAGGTTACATCAATTATTTGCTGCTCCTGGCTGAACCTGGATCAGCCTGTAATTTTTCACATTCTGTGTTAAAAATAAAAATAAAAATAAAAATATAGGCAGTGTATTCTGTCTTTTTTAAAGAAGCTTTTACTGAGGTGGTTGTTGGTATTTTGTCACTTGGATTCATAGTCCACAACAAAATTGACAGTTAGTTAGCATGGCTGTTCCCTTGATGGAATTTGGGTTTATCTTATTCAATAAATTCATTGTAGTTCAAAGGGGATAAGAAAAACAGTGTAGCTAAGGACCTTAGATGATTGCATTTACTATCTTGGTGCTTTAATGATCTTAAACTGTTAGTTTGAAATGAGTTCATAGTACTTTTGGAAAGCTTTCAGTTTTAGTTTGTAGGCCTGTTCCTGCACAATTCCTCCAACATCAAAGTCAAATCAGCACCTGTTAAGTTCTTTGATAGAGTTTCTTCACCCTGTTGGATTTTCACCTGGGCTAGGCACTAGGTGGATAAAGATTGTCTATTTCTATTCTCTACCACATGCCATCTGATGATTTTCATGCTGCCATACTTTTGTTCTTGGGTCAGTTAAAATGTTATAAAAAAAGATAATAGAAGAATAAAACCTTTGACAACAACTATATGTTCCACTTGAGTTCCTCTCTGGTGCATCAGAAGCCTTGGTTGGAATGCTGTATTTTTCCTTACTCTCCACTATTATTTCCTCAGATTGTTTGAGTTCGTAAGGGGGAGCTGCCTTATTCCAAAGCAGTTCTGTAAAGGGGACTTGCATGTTGTGACAATGCATATATGAACTGACCGGAGACGTGTTATACCAACCTGCGTGTTTGCATTGATTGTGTATGGAGGATAGTTCTGATGCCAATGTCCACTTTATAGCGATTCATGATTCTAGCCATAGCATTTGTTGTCCATGTTGTTTATTTCACATGACCGAGTAGGTATATTACACCCTGGAGTAGAACTTGGTCGCCAAAACTTGGAGAATTCTGACATCAGTTTTCATACTTTGGTCTTCAAAGGTGTTAGAAAGAAATGCTGTAACTATTTTGTTATGACAGATGAACTTTATTCAAGTACCTGACCTGTCATTTTGTGTTAATATGTAAACATATTTTTTCACTATATTTTTTCCATGTGCTTTGATTGGTTCTTTCATCAGGTTTCACATTGATCTGTTCTGTGTACCAGAAAGCCACCTGCATCATCTAGCATATGATAGTTGTCAATTTATGTACTTTTTTTTCTAAAAAACAATTATCATATATAGCCTTCCTTCTGTTTTGTAATATCATTTGTCTCATTTTCCTCAGCTTTCTGCTATGGAAGATTCTGAATCAGTTGCAACACTCATGGACTCAACAACGTCTAAGATACATCAACTTCAGAAAGCATTTGCTGAACTTGAAAGTCACCGGGCTGTAACACTCAACCTGAAATGGAAAGAACTTGAGGAGCATTTCCATGGGCTTGAAAGATCTTTGAAGAGGCGGTTTCATGAGTTGGAAGATCAAGAAAAGCAGTATGAAACCAAAACTAGGAGAGCCAGGGAAATATTAGAGAAACGAGAAGCTGCTGTTGTGGCCAAAGAACAAGTTTCATTGGAGAAACTCCAAGAGAAACGAGATGCTGCTATCTTCTCCATTTCGAATGCTCTACAGAAGCACAGGAAGGTATCTTCTGTGGAACCTGCTGTTGTGTCCTATGATGACCAATTTGGATCACCGGCTATTGATGACCAACCACCTGAAGCCATGACTGCTGAAAGTAACTTAGGTGAAATAATAGATCCTTCTGAAAATGGAAATTTGGAGTATCCGCAGTTAGTTGAACTATGTGAACAGATGGACTCAGAAGGACTGCACAAATTTATTTCTGACAACCGTAAGAACCTTGCGGTCCTAAAAGAGGAAATTCCACTTGCTTTAAAGGCTGCAGCAAACCCAGCTCAATTTGTGTTGAACTCTCTGGAAGATTTTTACCCCAAGGAAGTGTCAAATGTTGATGGAAAGAAAGACTCAACCTTATTGGGTGTCCGCCGAACCTGTATCATGTTGATGGAATGCCTTAGCATTTTGTTAATGTACACAGATCTAGTTTCTATATCTGATGTAATTTCAGAAGATGTTAAAGATCAGGCAAAGGCTATTGCTGAAGAGTGGAAGCCAAGATTGGATTCTTTGGACGTGGATGCTAACAATGGGAACTCCTTGGAAGCACATGCCTTTTTGCAACTTTTAGCTACCTTTGGGATTGCTTCTGAATTTGATGAGGAAGAGTTATCCAGGCTAATCCCAATGGTTTCTCGCCGTCGCCAAGCAGCTGAACTATGTCGCTTTCTAGGGCTGTCAGAGAAAATGCCAGGTTTGTTGAAATCCTGTTGCACTTAAATCATCATATCAGGAAGCATATCATTGCTTAAGTTAAAAAATGCAGGCAATAACACAAATTCTGTGGCAGTGTTAAAAACCTTATTACTGAAGAGTATATGAAATCTTCCCTTAGAAAGAACATATGAAACTTTCGTGTTAGATTAGAATCATGATGATTCGATGACTTCGTTTTGGTGTTTATTGAACCAAGCATGTAAATTTTCCTTTTTCTGGATTCTTGTTTAAAGCAACATTGCATAAATCTTGTTGGCATTTGCTCAATAGGTAAGTTCATACATTGGACAAATGAATTTGGTACGAACTGCAAAGAGCATAGAGGCTATTTGTTTCCTTTTTGCTTTTGTCAGTCTTGCTACTTTTTATTTCCCACTGTTTTTCTTTTTCATTTTACCTCTTATGCACATGGATTCTTCAGGTGTAATTGAAGTATTGGTAAATAGTGGAAGGCAAATTGATGCAGTTAACTTGGCCTTTGCATTTGACTTAACGGAACGGTTCTCACCAGTTCCTCTACTGAAATCATACTTGAAGGAGGCAAGAAAAGTTACTTCATCAGTCAAGCCTGGAAATGCATCTCCCATCACTGGGCAGGTGCGTGTTCTGTCTCCGCTAGATTAATTAATTGTCCTTTCCTTTCTACCATTATCTCTTGACAATTTGATATTATGCTGTTGTGTATTCTGAAGTAAATTGTTGTTTGATAACTTCAACTTGTAGCTAAGATTGGTTTGGATTGCTAATGCTAAAACTCCCACCTGAATGAATTGTGGCAGGTGCTTGTTATACATAAAAGTGGGCTTTCTAGTTGGATGCCAAGAAAGGGTAGATAGATGATATTGTAGTGCATATATGCTTAAGAACAATTTCCATTGAAATCTTATCTTAGCTTTCGATGTAAAGCCACACTCATGCTACATCCCTTCTGAAAAACTCTTGAGGACCTTTTAAGAAAATTTCTGTTGTTTCAGAATGAGGTCAATGAACGAGAGCTGGCTGCCCTCAAGGCTGTGATCAAGTGCATCGAAGAGCATAAACTTGAGGAGCAGTATCCTGAGGATCCGCTCCAAAAACGCCTTCTTCAGCTAGAGAAGGCCAAGGCAGAAAAGAAAAGGGCAACCGAAGCTGCCAAGCCTCAACCCAAGAGACCACGCGCCAGTGGCGTTGGATGCGGCCCCCGCATCACTAACGGTGCTCCTGAGAGGACATTCTATCCTATAGTACCTGATAGGTACCCACAGTACGTGTACGACAGGCCATACATTTACACTGGACCTGCCGACAACCATGTTCCTGCACTCATGAGTTCCGCTGCTACATACAACTTCTCTCCCAGTCATGGCAACTACTTTGGAAATGGCTACCAGTACCAGGCCCCGTATCATCACTAGGTAGTAAAGATGGCGAAAAGGTGACCTTGATCCTCATTTTAACTGCTAGCCTTAACCCGTCAGTTCGTTGATGTTGTATGAATGAATTTAGTATCTAAAAAACCAAAAAAAAAAAAAAAAAAACTGCCATGTGAATTTTTAATCTGCTGTACTAGAGATAACTTGATCCTCTAATATATGCACTCTGTTTTCTGTATATTTCTGTTTCGTTTTGTCTTAGCTCTCTTTTGTTTATGAAAAATTCTTTCGAACGTGGAGGACTATAGTGTGAACAAAGTGCAGCAATTATATATTTTTTTAAATTATATTTTTGTTGTTGCCTGAAATAAAATTTAAAATATTAAATTTTTTTATTTTAATCATTTCTATAAAAATAAAATCCAAGCTACAAAATAAAAAACATTGTCATTTATAAATTATAAAAATACTCCACGAATCATAACATAAAGTCTGTGTACTGTGATGAAAATTAAAATAACTTTATAAAACAAAATAAAATTAAAAAAGTTTGGATGATGGGGCAAATGAACCTCTTATTGTTTTCGCTCTCAATTTTGGTTAAATTAAATTAAAATTTATTATTTTTTAATTTGGTTTTAATAAATTAAATAAAAATCTTATTTAAAAAATATATATATGATAATTAAATAGTAATTGCTTTTTAAAATTTTTTTTATTTAAAAAAATATTAAAAAATATATATTTTTGTTTTTTTAAATTTAATTTTGACACTACCATATTAAAATAATCTAAAAAATAAAAAAATAATTAATTTAAATTAAATAAAATATACTTTTCTTCAAAAATAATTTTAAAATACAAAAACAAAAAAGCTAAAAACTGAGTAACACTTAATATTGAATGAATCAAATGAAATTACTCGACCTTGAGTGTGTTTGGAGTGTGGTAGTGGTTGCTTTTCAAATAACTTTTTGTGCCGAAATGCATGTCAATGATGTTTTTTTATTTTTTAAAAATCATTTTTAATATCAGCATATTAAAACGATCTAAAATGTATAAACTATACTTTTCTTCAAAAATAATTTTAAAATACAAAAACAAAAAAGCTAAAAACTGAGTAACACTTAATATTGAATGAATCAAATGAAATTACTCGACCTTGAGTGTGTTTGGAGTGTGGTAGTGGTTGCTTTTCAAATAACTTTTTGTGCCGAAATGCATGTCAATGATGTTTTTTTATTTTTTAAAAATTATTTTTAATATCAGCATATTAAAACGATCTAAAATGTATAAACCATATTAAATTTTAATAAAAATAAAAAATAAATTTTTTTTGAATTTTTTGGAAACGCAGGTTAAACCGCGTTCCAAAACACTGCCCTTGTCTTGTAGCCTCATGCAGGCTACTGGTAACACTTAATATTGAATGAATCAAGTGAAATTACCCGACCTTGTCTTGTAGCCTCATGCAGGCTACTGGAAGCCCAACTATATATCTACAGCTGGGCTTTATTGGCGGGCACGCCTTTCCCTCTCTCTCCCCTCCAAAAAAACAAAAAAACCGTTTTCGCTCCTTCAAATTCAAAATTAATTTCAGATTTTCTCCCTCCCTCTCTTTCTCAAAATGAAAATCACCGAGATCTACTCGCCGGATCTCCGGAAACCAAACCACGACAACCAATTTATTCAGTCCAACAACCTCCACCAACACCTCCTCTCCCAGATCGAATCCCTAATCATACAAACCGAAAACCTCTCCCCTAACTACCATTCCTTACCGGAAACTATCTCCTCAGATCTCCGCCAAACCCTAACTCACCTCACACAACTCCCTCCGTTTCCTAACTCACTCAAGCTCCATATCTGGAAGCTTGCCTACCGCCTCTGGAATGCCTGCATCGACATCTCCAACGCCGTCTCCATGCTCCCTTCCTCCCCCTCCCCCTCCTTTGTCGAAAACCACGCCAGGCTCCGTCACATCGCCGCCGATATGATCTCCCTCGCCGGAGACGTCACCAGCGTTACCTCTCCTGCTGTCAAATCCGCATCTTTCTACCTCAAGACCGGCCTCATCTGGCACGATCTGAGAAAATTTGATCTCGCGTCGTCCTGCTTTGAGAGAGCTACTGATATCGTTTCAAAGCTCGACATAGCCGCAATATCGGACCCCGGAGAGAGAAAACTGCTGTTAGATTTAAATCTCGCGAGATCTCGAACTGCCTGGGAGATATCGGACCGAAACCTCGCGATAATACTGTTAACTCGGGCGAAAACTCTCCTCTTCGGGTCATCAGATCACTACAAACAACTAGCCAATCAGTACTTGATATTTGGAAAGAGCGTGTTATCCAAAAACAACGATACCGATAACAGTTTAAAAGAAGCTTTGAAGCTAATGAGCGAAGCTCTGGATTTAAGTGAGAAAGGATCCAGTGCAGCGAGAACAAGAGAGCAAATCATGGAACTCAAGGAGTTAAGATCAAAATCACTCCGATTCATCTCGGCTGTTCATTTACAAAAAGGAGAGTACGAGAGTGTGATTAAATGCGTTAAGGTATTGAGGGAGGGAAAGGGCGGTGGTGATGGCGGGGACCACCATGGTAGTCTCCCTGTTTTGGCAATGAAGGCGTGGTTGGGTTGGTGATGGCGGGGACCACCATGCTAGTCTTCCTGTTTTGGCAATGAAGGCGTGGTTGGGTTTGGGGAGGTATGGAGAGGCAGAGAAGGAGCTGAGGGACATGGTTGTCAATAAGGGAATTCCTGAGAGTGTTTGGGTTTCTGCAGTAGAGGCGTACTTTGATGCTGCGGGGACTGCAGGGGCGGAGACAGTGAAGGGAGTGTTTTTGGGGCTTTTAGGAAGGTGCCAGGTGAGTGCCAGAGCTGCATTCAGGGTGGCGAATAGAGTGCTTGGGTGTGTTGGAAGTGGTGGAGAAGGTTCGAGTCTAAGGACTAAAGTGGTGGCAGATTTGGTATCTGATGAGAGAGTGGTGGCGCTTTTTGCTAGCGAGGCGACTGCCAAGGAAAGGGCGGCAATGCATGCTGTTCTTTGGAACTGGTGAGTTTCAAAAGAATTTCCCGCCAAACTTGTGTCTGCTTTGAATGAAGAGTTGTTTATGTTCTTTATTTTTTTTTCTTTGTATTGCATTTCATGAACTATAAAATTTTGGTTTCTTTATCCGAGTTTGTGATTTCTGTGAAACATGAAAATGATGGCTTGCATTCATTGTTTTGAAATTGTATTGATCAAGGCCTGTGTTACTTAGGCTTGTTGATACCGGCTACGATTATCAATTTTTTTAACAGGAATTGGGATGCCCGTGGCATGTGCTTGGCTAATGTTTCCTTGAAACTTGACTTGTTATTCCTTTTATCCTGGGATTGCTTAATAGAAGGAAAAGAAAACCGGAATCCCTAGAATTTCTTCTTATTATTCCGAAAAAAGGTGATTGATTTGCTTACAAAGAAAATGTGGTTTCCAGGAGTAAAATAAGTTGTTTACCAAGCATGGAAGCAATGCGATGGTATGTAGGCTTGTTCAAATTTATTCAATCCATGTCAACACATTCGATGGAGTAAAATAGAACCCTATATTTGGATACATCCTGGATACTGGGATATGATATGATCCATGGTGCTGTGATCTCAGATGCTAGGCAGCTGAATGGGTCATTATTCCGTAACCTTCACAATCTGTTGTTTTAAGTGGTGCCATGTATATCGTTTCTGAAGCCTTTTGCGGTAAACCCTGCCTACCGTCCACTTCTTTTCACTGATTTAATATTTTGTCTCACAACTTTGCTGAACAAAGAGCAATTCATGTGTGAACCTTCATTTGCTGCAAATTAACTGTCTTCCTAAACTTGATTCATTACATTGGATTTTTTCCTTTAAGATTTCTCTTTGCTGCTGGAATTTAACAGGCAAGTCAAAGGAAAGGAAATGATTTCTATCCAAAATCTTTTAAAAATGGAGAGTTTCATTAGTCATGGAGACAAAAGCCTAGCATTTTAGAAACTGGTATTCATTGAAAACATTCCTTGTCATATCTGATCTTTTAACCACTCCCTCTTTGTTTTTGCAGTGCTTCTGAACATTTTAGATCAAAAGATTATGAGACAAGTGCAGTGATGTTTGAGAAATCACTGCTTTATATATCACATGACATCGAGAACAGAATTTTCCGTGCAAAGGGCTTCAGAGTTTTGTGTCTATGCTATCTTGGCCTCTCCCAGCTTGATAGAGCTCAAGAATACATTAACGAAGCTGAAAAGGTATCTTAATCAACTGCAAGCTGGTGTTTTGGTGTATAAATTAGCTAAATGATGTTATTACCTTTGGAAAAGCTAAGCTGTGTAGTAATTCCATTTCTTTGGGATGCTTTCCATTTGTGCAGCTTGAGCCCAACATAGCATGTGCTTTTCTTAAGGTACTCTCTCTCTCTCTCTCTCACACACACACACACACAAATACACACTATATTTAACATATTGATTGCTGAAATTTGCGCCTTTGAATCAGCTCAATCCTTTATTTCATCTGCACAATACCCGGACTTCCTAAGATTATTTTATTGATGGTTTCCACATCTTGATATTTCTTCGTTCTCATGCAGTTCAAAATCTATCTGCAAAACACCGACCATAATGGTGCTATCAATCAGGTCCAGGCAATGAAAACTTGCTTTGATTTCAATCCAGACTTTCTCTCCCTTTCAGCACATGAAGCTGTTGCTTGCCATGCTCTTCCTGTTGCTATTTCCTCTCTATCCAATCTCCTGAGCTTCTACACCTTGGGAAGACCCATGCCAACGACAGAAGTTGTGGTGCTACGCACATTGATCACAATCCTCATTCAAGACCCTGGAAACGAGGTAGAAGTCCTCAAATTCATGAAAAGGGTTCACGACCGGGCATCTGAGCTTGGGACAGAGTGCTTTTTTGGAAAAGAGGAGACTGGCAGACGAGAAAAAAACTGGTTTGCTGTGACTTCATGGAACGCTGGGACTAAATGTGGAAAGGAGAAGAAATATGAATTATGTTCAGAATTTTTGAGACTGGTATCAGGATTTTATGGTCTGGTTGATTGTCAAGAGGAAGAAAACAGTATTATGGTCTGCAAGTCATTGATATTGTCTGTCTCAGCCATGGTGGCTTCAGAGAATCAAAAGAAGACTGCATTGACGGACTCTGAAGTGAAACAAGCCGTTGAACTGCTAGATAGAGCAGGGAAGGTATGCC